TTTTTTTTTTTTTTTTTGTAGTAGTCTTTTGAAAATTATTGAGATGAACTTTACATTGACATATTGTATTAAATCGTATTCAATATTTTTATTTATCGAAATAATGGAAACCTTGATTATTTATGGATTAATTGTTTTGTTATTATTATAGATTTGCTGGTAATCAAATAAATAAATAATTTTTAAAAAATTAAATTGTCATTTACGGCATGTATTTTAGCATGCCGTAAAAAGTGAGATACTTTTTACGGCATGCAGTTGAACGCCGTAAAAGGTACACTACTTTTTAAGGAATGCATTTTATTACGCCGAAAAAGTGAGATACCCGTAAATCTCATTTACGGCATTCTATAGACGGCGTACTCTACACGTCATAAAAGGTACACCACTTTTTACAACATGACTTTATATGGAGTGTGCCCGCACGCCGTAAAGAGGTTTTTACGGCCTGCATTGCACGCCGTAAAAAGTACATTTTGTTGTAGTGTTCTCAAATGCTTCGAGCTGTGGATTTCCATGATGATAAGGGCCGATCAAAACTACGAGAGGATCATAACAATCTTTGTTTGATTCAATCGCTCGCATCAGTGATGGAACCCTTTCAATTTGGGGTTTCTCTGTTGTGTCGTTAACATAGTTCTTTATATAAATCAACCACTCATCCTCGCCGCCTTCGATAATGTTATCGTTATTTTCTGTGGCTCCAACTGTTGTCATCCCTTGGACGTGAGCATGAATTTGAGTCGGCACATATTATTAGCAGCTTGTTTGATAATTTTTTATTAACATAGTCAAAATTTAATTTTTAAACACATGTTTCAAGGAATCCATATAATTTATCAACTGTATATTTCATCAACTTTTATAAAAATCTATTTAAACTATTATTAAACACTGTGTCAAACAACTCCCTGATTGAAACTTAGGTCGAACCGAGCTGCTCTGCAAGGCCGGCAAAAGGCCTGGCAGAGCAAATGTGAGATGGGGTGGGGTGTTTAACATTTGGGGGGGTTTAATGAGGTGGGTCCTCGGGACCCACCTCATGTGAGAGCAATTGCTCTACCAGGCTTTTTAGCAGAATTATTCAACTTAGGTCACCCATCATGTGCTTTGAGAAAAAAAATTAGAATAAATATTTACTACTAAAGTGAAGAGAGGTCTAGCAAGTTCCCTAGCATTCCAGACTAGAAACCTAAGGAGGGTTATTCCAACAACAAGGGACTAACACATGATATGATACACTTTTACAAGAAAGTGGTACACGTGTGAAGATTTTGATGGCAAATGAACTTGCAACACTGTTACCAATATTCGTCATCCCAACTATCAGTGGGCCATTACGTACGTTATCTTTCATATTGAAGAATTTATGCAAATAAATTAGAATTTTGATGAAGAATTGTTGAATATATGAGATAACAATAATCATATTAGATTTAGAACTTGACAATAATTTTGAAAAACTTTTTTTTTATATCCAATTCTATCTTGAAAAATAACCTATGATTATTAAATGCAACAGATTAGATAACATGCAATAATGATTAGTTATAAAATGTGTCTGTATTAACAATTAGACATAATTAGAAACAATATATAAGGGAGTTAAATGTAACAAAGAAGAACAATATTAAGAAAAATCCCTCAGGTGAGGTGGAGTGGGGGTACCTTCTGATCCCATGGAGGATGACCAGCAAACTTATGTTTGAGTACTAAGTAAAAAGATGTTTCTTTATTGTAATAACATATGAAACATTTTCTTGTATATAAACTTGTCATAAGAAGGGAATATCTTAGACAAACTTAATTTTGTAGAATCACTTTAGAAAACTTTAAATAAATAATTTTTAAAAAATTAATTGTCATTTACGGCATGTATTTTAGCATGCCGTAAAAAGTGAGATACTTTTTACGGCGTGCAGTTGAACGCCGTAAAAGGTACACTACTTTTTACGGAATGCATTTTATTACGCCAAAAAAGTGAGATACCCGTAAAACTCATTTACGGCGTTCTATAGACGGCGTACTCTACACGTCGTAAAAGGTACACCACTTTTTACGACATGACTTTATATGGAGTGCGCCCGTACGCCGTAAAGAGGTTTTTACGGCCTGCATTGCACGCCGTAAAAAGTACATTTTGTTGTAGTGTTCTCAAATGCTTCGAGCTGTGGATTTCCATGATGATAAGGGCCGATCGAAACTACGAGAGGATCATAACAATCTTTGTTTGATTCAATCGCTCGCATCAGTGATGGAACCCTTTCTATTTGGGGTTTCTCTGTTGT